ATTTAAATGCACTTGAAAAGTTTAAAAATTCTTTGACGAAGATTAAGGAATTTGTCAAATGCGTGACACAGATTCATGGGTTTACAAAATATGACGATGTTGCGAGTGTAAAGGAGGATTTTGATCAAATTGTCAAAGATTATAGTAAGTGTGTGAAAGAACTGAATCCGAATTACTCAAAGATACTAAGCCCTGTTGGACAAGAATATTTGAAGGATGACGAAATTGAGGATGTAAGTAATAAATATTTGCATAACATTAACGTTATTATTTACGAAAATAAAAGTTCAAACAATGTATTAATCATAATTCTTTATCCATTTATAGTTTATTATAAAACAATCTTTAGTAAAAGATAAAAAATTAAACCATGGTTGGATTATTTTCGACCGCGGAATGAAGTCAATATACAAATTTGAACATCAATTCAAAATTAATTTTAATCCTATAAATCGAAATACTGGAATATTCAATATAAATTTAATGCCTATTAAAACACCGATGGACACTTTATTAAAATATAATATCAAACCATCTGCAATTACCTCTGAACATTTCCAACTTATTTCAGGTCAATTGGTTAATGACTCTGCAAATAAAGTCTATCTCGAAATACAGTATCCACTATTGGAATTAGTTTTTGAGAAGGAAAATATAAAACTACCTGAAATTTTGATTGAAGACATTAACAATGCTTTGAAAGATAATGATCCTTATCACAAATTAATGCAAATTTTCGATGATTATGGTCACTTTGTTCCAAGAAAAGTTATTCTCGGGCATAAATTATATAGAATGTCACACCTAAAAAGAAATAAAACTTTGTTAGAGAAGAAAAAAATCGTAACGCGTGAATATTTTGAAACAAGCGAGTTTAATGAATTTTGGAATGAGTGGAATAATTCAATTATGCATTATTGCTTTGATGAAGTGCATTTGTCATCAATGAGTTCAGAGAAATTTGACCGAAATGAAATAACAAAATGGGCATCTTTTCTAAGCGATAATAACTTACAAGTCATCTGTTGGGATGAACTACATTCTTTATATGAGTTATTAGATAATAATTTAAAGCAAAAGGTCAAGTCAATTTTTGGAATTAATGACCAAACAGGAAACATAAGTGTTAAAAAAGAAAAGATACTTATGACAGGTGTAATTCCAATTACAAATTCTCCTTACTACCTTGTAAACCTTCCTGATAATTTAAGCTCTGATAATTATCAGATTTTTGGAAGGCTTGTAACACAAGATGGGAAATTAATTGACGCAGTTATAAAGTTCAAAGCTATGACTGCACATAATTTCTTAGTGTTGATTGATATCGACAAAACTATGTAAGAATTTATTAACTACATGCTGATACATTTATAGCACGATGAATGATCCTTAATTCTGTAATTTGTCTAATTTCAATTTTTAGTAGGTCTAAATATTCAAATTTACAAATCTTTTGGTCTATGGTTGGACTTCCGGAAATCGGTTTCTATAGTCCAAACACTAGGGATATCTCTATAATTGCATCAGGTAGTCATAAATTTGCGTATGCAAAAAAGTTTGATATCGATATTCCATTTTTACTACCAGAAAATTTGCCAACAAACTGGATTTTTTGTGCCTCTTTCCAATATCTAAAGGATTGTGGACCGAATTTTCATGCTGCTATTCAGTATGATAAAGTCAATAATAAATTTATTATAACCATTTATGATGATTCCAACATGTATGATACGTCAACTGAAGAATATTTGCTCAATTGGTGCATTTTTCCTAAAGATCACAAAATTTTAGTAGATAACCTTAAAAGCCGTGAAATCTTAGGTGGTAAAAATCAAGAGATATCAGCTGATAATCATCTGGAAAAAAGATTTAATTTAAGTTTGATAGGCCAAGACATTTACGAGAAACCCAAAAGTAATATAACTTTAATTTTACAATTACATCGATTTTTGATTAATATTAATTTTTTTTTATTTAGATTTTGTAAGTTACGAAGATGGAGTATTATCACATTGGTTTATGATGTACTATTCAATAATACTTTGAGGTCATGAACGAAAAGAGCCAGATCCTATTGAATTGTGGTAATGCACTTATGACCAATAAGAATCGGTGAAAGGCTAAAATTAGCAGAAATTTTCAATTATGTAAAATAATACACGATAATTATTATTTATTTTTAAACCTATTCATATTATCATATGAATATTATTATGTAAATATACAAAATATGACTTAGCCATTTGTAATTTCAATTCTTAAAGGAACATCTATTGTTAACATGGAAATCTCCTTTATAAAGTAAAGAAAAAAACCCCATGTAAAGTTCTCAAAGAAACTAATATTGTTAACTCCTGCTTGATAAGTTGATTTAATCCTTGCTATTTTCGATTATCTTTTTACTTAAAATGTGCAATTCTAAACTCACTTTTATTTATGCGCACCATATAATGTGTGAGTCGTGACAATATAATGAATATTAAAATTCAGTACGTACGTCTTTGGTCTGGGATAAAAAGTATCCAATTTTTTCAGAATCCAATGAAGGTGTTCTTAAAGCTTTATAAATAATTTCTTTCGAATTGGCATTTATAAAACCATGGTTCTGA